CACAACGAAATGTGGTTATCACAAAGACTCGGGTCCCCAATTCAACAAGAGACTACTGGCCTGTATACTGAACACCGAACAAAATTTCTAAATCACCCCACTTTGTCAGTGCTTTATTGGTTAGGTCGAATCAAATCCCAGGTAGTCCGACGTGATCGAGGCGGGAAGTTAAAACTTCCAATAGTATAATTCAGAGCCACAGCAACCCCTGGCCAACCAGGGGCAGGGTGAGAGCGCATGGGTGGTAAACCTGAAGGTATATCTAGATGGAAGGAAAATACAGAAATTGGACACTTACTCTGAGGATGCAGAGTGTCGGAGCAAGAAACACGAGGATTTCGGAAAGTGTAATCCGGCAATAAAATTCGCAGCTGCCAGTGAGTTCGAATCCTTGATACCAGCAATATACAGCGACTTTCTGTAATTTTTGGGCTCGGCAGGGAACTGAGGATATCTTTCAGGAAGCGGTGATGGGGCCCGTAGAGGTGACAGTCTCTGTCGAGTTGGCGAAATCCGTGAACGAGCGCCAGAGGGAGGGCCAGCGAGGCCGAGGTACGTGAAAAACATCGTGAACAGAATGGATTGGAGAAAGGAAGGAAAGAAATGTGGGAGTGACGAGGGTTTCATTTGAAGGGCCACGTGGGAGAAGAAGTTTCCAAATTCTGATTATGTCAAAGTTCATCTGCCTGCCGCTTCCACCAATCCGTTCTCACATCTAGCGTGAGCACTACCCTCTTGTTCGTCGTTCGTCGGCCACTTCTCGCCGTGTCTCAGCGCGGATATCGAATTCTATAATACCACTGTCCATTTAAAGCAGTGTCCTTCTTGAACCGAAGCCCTTGCTACGCACACGGCCCTCTTGATCCACTGGCACACATCCTGAGGCCTGATACTACCGGAGAATTTGGCTAAGCAGTATGGCGCCAATGACCCTGACGAGCTCGCTCGATTCCGGCGACTGCTATTTAATTGCTTCGTGCATTTTTTTCTTCTCCTGCGCTTGCATAATCCTCTTCTTTCACTGTGACGCGCTTTGATCGCAGTGATCGAATACCTGGGTGTACTTCTCCCCGCTAGATGCCTCTTGCCTCAGTCGGTCCTGACAATGTGTTAGTCATTCAAGTCGGCTAGGAAACATACTAAGAAAACACTAGATGGTCTCGTTTGGTTTATTTGTTCGCGCGGGAAGCAACTATCTTTCCGTGTTGGTCTGTTTTACATTTCCCCCCGATCCCTGTTCTCCATACCCTTCGTCTTTCATGGGGGTAATGACATCGCACCTGGACCTAGTATACCCTAGTACGACTGTTCGGCTCGTGCCCTGATCCTGCGCTTTTATGCCAACATCGTATCCCTCCTTCAATGCAGGTATTAGTCATCCGTGGAGATTCCCTGTGTCGAATTAGAAGGAAAACCCATGCGGCGAGCGGTTACTTATCATCATTCTCTTCCGGTGCTGATATTTATGCAATCCATAGTCTACAGATCTCTCCTCTTGTCTTGTTTGGGAACTCGCCCCATACGAAGGAAGTAGGACCGCATTTTACTGCCCTCTCGTACACTCGTCCTTTCGTCCACCTCCCTTACGCTTAACAGCACCGGAAATACACCTCCATATGCGTATCAATCTACCCCCCCTCATCCTTACACTCTCACACCACTTACCACGTCAGTAACGCGACCCCACGACGGTGTGCCGTTCCGTTCCTTTGAATGTGCGTACTTAAACCTTGATAAGAATACTATGCTATCAAAGGAGTGTGGAAGTTCCGTATTTTCCTCCCATCTAGATATACCGCCCATGCGCTCTCACCCGTCCCGGTTCGCCGGGGGTTGGCATGGCTCTGAATTCTATTACTGGATAGGTCAACCCCCCCTCTCGGATCACGTTGGCGGTTTGATGCGACCTAACCAATAAAGGACTCACAAAAGTGGGGTGATCCAGAATGTTTTGTCCAGTTTTCAATATTCGAATCGAAGTACAACCATTTCCCTAATGACCAGGTCAGTCGTTCAAGTCGGCTGGGGGGGATAGCGCCTTTTGAGTACAATACTTTTCGCCTAATATCTGTTTTCAGCTCCGAGTCTCCACCAGAGGAGTAATCAAAACTTTATGACTGTTCTTCCTACCGTTCGTCTTTCTTGTAAGTAATGGCATCGCACCGGACCTCTCGCCCAAATATAGACTGCCTGCTGTTCCACGCTTATTCCGCGCTTCTATGCCGCTTCCACCGCGGGTATTAGTCGCGCAGGCTAATTAAACAAATGACTCGAGCGTCAGGCAAACTTTCTTCTCCCGGTGCCGACATCCCACCCTCCTACCAGATCAGTAGGCCTGAGTGTCTTCTCTGGGCGCCTCGAACCTCAGTGTAGTGCATGCATCGAGAGCAGGGTTCTCTCTCTCCCACCATCGCAGGGTGTACACAAGGAAAAGACCCGCAATCTCTGATCACAGATTTTTGAACAAGGGTCTTCTTTCCTGTCGTTTGGTTTGTCGTTTCCATACTTTCCTATGTACGACGCGGATTTTTCTTTTGTTTGCTGCTAGCCAGCGACCTCCTCTGCCTCAGACCTCTCTGTGTGACGGTTATTTGCCCGATATCCGTTTTCAGCTCCGCAAGTTTGCTTCCTGGCGACAGCCGATGGCAGGCTACTCTCTGCTCGACTGATGCTATCATTCATACTCTGAGTCGTCCTTTCGTCCTGTCGCCCCACCTCCATTACGCTTAAAAGCACCGGAACTACACCTACGTATGTGTATCAATCCACCGCCCACTCATCATTACAATCTCACAGCTGCATGCAAACCAACCACGTCCGTAACGCGACCCCACAAAGGCGCGTGCGTGAACACGTTCCGTTCCTTTCAATGTGCGTGCTTCAACCTTGATAAGAATACTATGCTGTTAAGGCGTCATCCGTGAACCGAATACCTTGAAGGTCGGCTCAAGATGATTCTCACCCGAATGCCACGTCGAAATCGCGCCGAAGCGATATCCCTCGTGTGCCACCACTGTCGGCAAAAGTCACGCGACTTTCTCTTCCATTCCCTCTTCCTTTGCGTGAACGTGCTCTCCCCTCTTGCCTCCTTCGAATACGATGCGGGCGAGGATGGTAGAGCGGAACCTCCGGAACTGGCGTCTGAATGAAGGGCTCGTGGCTCCTCGATTCGTGGCACGCCATCTACTCTGGACACACTTCGAGGCCTCCCTGTATCTGCCCGGTGCATCGGAACCATAGGCTTCATTTTCTTCAACCAACTTCGTCGAGGAGTAATTTGGTCAGGCGAGGCGCTTATTGACGATCAAGAAGCAGTTGCCCTGATGGAGATCGTTAATTAGAGAAATTCGCCAGGTCGTGACGGTGGCGTGATTATAGAGTTCGATGAGTTACGTCTAATCATCAAACAGCTTTTCTTAATGCTATCATTGACGGGTCATCAATTGGCAGGGATGGTTATTCATTCAACGAAAAGACTCCTCTTATAACAAGATGTGCCCGGTCATGAAGCAAAGCTGTGCAGAAGGAAGGCGGAGGAGTGTATTCGATGGAAAGATGACTCTCCGTAGAAGATCCTACGTGCACGCGTCATGGTTGAAGAAAACCTTACTTGCCACACATAACCTCGTCGACTCAAGAAACGGTGAGCCCGGGATGGTTTGCACTGTAGGTACATCGAGCAGGAAGCCCAAATGAGTGCAACGATAGGAATTGTACTGATCTTCTTATGCACTGACAAGTAGTCAGCGATCCAGATTCGTATGTCAGTTTGAGCAACCGGATATGTCAGTCTCATTGGATGGTGGAGGCGAGGGCAGTAACATGTAGTCGTAGTACTTACTTCAAATACTATACAAAAGCGTGCCATACGACACAACACGCAAAAGGCCAAGAAAACACAAAAGACCCAGTGAATAGAACCGGTTGGCTAAAGGGAGAAAAAGCTCAAGAGAAGACACGAATTCTGAAAAGGCCAGGTCCTTGAAACGAAGACGGGGCCGAGGGAGGACGAAACGAAAATTTGAAGCTACACTTCCATGTGCTCCGGAGAGGGTTTAATTTTAATACACCTCCAAGAGCGTGCTACCCGGGCTGTCTAGACGGAGGGAGCCAGTATTGAGAGAGGACGATAGTTTCGCTGCTGGGCGTAGAGGTCGAGATCGAGATCGAGGACACCCAAACAGGAATTCAGGATGTTTCCTGTAGTGCCTCATAAAGACGGGTTCGCCAAGGAAACCAAGTTCAGATGAATGGTCGATAACCCACCGCTGCCGTGAACAAAAGGATATCGGGGCGAATAACCGTCACACTCTGAGGCAGAGGAAGTCGCCGGCTAGAGGCTAGCAGGAAACAAAAAGAAAAAATTGCGTGTCGTACATCAAATGGAAAGTGCGGAAAACGATAAACCAAACATCAAAAACAGGGATTGCGGGCCCCAAGTTTGCGTTGTGTACACCATGCGATGAGTGGGAGAGGGGGAGAACCCCGCTCTTGATGCATGCACCACGCTGAGGTTCGAGGTGCCCAGGGAAGACACTCGAACCTACTGAAAATCTTTCCATCTGGTAGGAGGAGCGATGTCGGGACCGGGAGAGAAAGTTTGCCTGCCGGTCGGATCATTCATTTAATTCAACTCTGTATACTAACCCGAACGACTGATACCCGCTTTAGCAGAGGTGGGATCAGGCCGAGCTGTGGGAATATTGAATAAGTATAGGACAGAATGCAGTCTATATTTGGGCGAGAGGTCCTGGTGCGATGCCATTAAAGACGAAAGGTAGGAAGAACAGTCATAAAGTTCTGATTACTCCCCTGGTGGCGAGTCGGAGCTGAAAGCAGATATTGGGCAAATACCCGATCCGAATTCGATTCTATTGCACACCGACAAGATGGCAAACCAAGGGTTAGGATCGGATGATCCTCGTAACCCCATATCAACGTGTTAGGCCCAACTCTAATTAAGGATTCGACACGCAAAAATACATTGACATGACATTCAATTCCCTCTAGCCGACTTGAACGACTGACCTCGTCATTAAGGAAATAGCTTCAACCTGGTTTGACCCGTACTAGTGACGCGCTCTACCAACTGAGCTAAGAGGGATTAAGTACACATATCGGTGTGGCTGAGATAAATGGACATGTGATGGAAGGAAAGAGAAAGGCATGAAAAAATGTCTCTCCGTTCACTAGCGGACTCGAACGAGTAGCACGACAATGGAATCAGATGGTAAGCCATAAATGAGAGAGATCAAATTTCAAAGGGCGTAAGAGGAGATACTATTACAAGAGGGAAAGAAACAAGACCCATCGCTTGTTTTGGAAATAAGATAAGTGCGTAAAAGCATGGATTAGGACACGGTGGATCTAAGAAGTCCATACACGATCACTTGGGAAGAAAAGGACGCTCAGCGTAGATAAGGCATAAGCTGAAGCTATTGTTTTGTGCACCGTCCCGATGCGCCATCACGCCGCAATAGAGGTCAACACATCCTGTCATCAGCAATAACGCAATAATGGCACAACACAACAGCCAAGCAGGGGGTGATAATTGACAAGCAACGACAGGCGGTAGGTACAGAATGACGGTAACGTACAAGGTCCATCAGAATATTTTGGAGGAGGGTATATAATATGAGTTGTGCAGTAAAATCGTTCGTAAAATGTGTCCCCCCTAAAAAAGTAGCGAAAGAAAGAAAAGAGTCCTGTTTAGATGGCGACGACCCATGCCAAGACAGCGGCGAGGATGCCGGCGCCTCCGACCTGCGCGCGCGAGGCGGCGTTGAAGGCGGATGAGGAAGCGGTGGATGCAGGCTGAGGAGGTGGAGGGCGTGGATGGACGACGCGCGGGTGGAGGAGCCTGACGCCAAGGCGGAGGCGGAGCTCGCACGGGTGGACGACCCGGATGCGGAAGACCCAGATGCGGACCTAGAAGCACGCTTAGCGGGCAAAGGGCTGACGGAAGGAGGGGGGTGACTCACGCGGACGCTGAACCAGACGACGCTGAAGCCGAACCACTAGCACTAGCACTCGCACTGCTGCCGCTCTGACTCGCAGACCCCGTCGACGATGCCGAGGCAGACGAGCTGACCGGCTCCGCGACAGAGAAGGTACCCGTCTGGGCGTAGATATCGTTGATATTGGAGATATTCACGAGCTCGATGGTGTACCCATCTCTGCGGGGGCGAGGGGCGTTAGTCAGTGTGTGTGAAACAAACAAGGAAAAGACGGACTCGGCGGGGATCTGGGGGAGGGTGAGGCTGAGGGAGCCGAGGCTGGAGTCGACGTTGTTGGCGATGGCGTACTGGTTGTTGAAGGACTGGTTGATCAGCTCGATAGGAGAACACCGACGGGTCCCCGGAGGATGTCTGCCACGAGATGGTGATGGGAGCCCGTGGACGTGACGGTCTCTGTCGGGTTGCTGATGGTGAGGCCGTGAACGAGCGTCAGAGGGAGCGCGGCGAGGGCGAGGTAGGCGGAGAACATCGTACGTGAAAAGAAGGTGTTGGGGAAAGGAAGGAAAAAAAAAATGTGGGAGTGACAAGGGTTTTATTTGAAGGGCCACGTGGGAGAGGAAGTTTCGTGAAAAAGTTTTGATCAGCTTCAAGGGGCTTTATGTCATTCGCTGCCGTCACCAGCCGTCTCGTCTCCCATCTTGCGCTAGCACTACGCTCTTGTTCGCTGTTGGTCGGCCACTCCTCGCCGTGTCTCAGTGCGGATGTCGAATTTCATAACTCCACGCTACCTACGCCAATTTAAAGCGCGTCCCTCTCGAACCGAACCCTTGCTGCGCACACTGCCCTCATGATCCATCCCGAGATCGAAGAATTGGGAAGCAGTATGGCGCCACCGACCCTGGCATGCTCGTTCGACTCCAGCGACTGCTATGCGATGCATGAATGTAGGCTTATTTTTTCTCTTCAAATCCTCAGCTTCTCATAGTTTTATGCTTTCAGTGCAACGCGCTTTTACCTCAGAAGGTCCCTCTTAGCTCTGACAAGGTGTCAAGTCCGCTAGGGAACATACACCAGATGGTTTCCTTTTGGTTTATCTAAGCGGGTCTTTCCATATGGGTCCATCTCTCCCCACTGTCCGACCGTGATGCTGATTCCTTTCATCGTCGATTCCTGCGAATCCTGCCACACTTTCACGACAACATAGCCCATCGGGTTCGTTCGAATGGAGCGTAGGATGACCGTTCTTATCTTGCAGCTGTACCAAAATTTGTAATCCCTCTTAGCTCAGTTGGTAGAGCGCGTCACTAGTATCGCGTATAGCGCGGAGATCTTTCATAATGACGAGGTCAGTCGTTCAAGTCGGCTAGAGGGAAATTTTCTCTGACGGCCCACATAATTTTTGCATTTCCAATCCTTAATTAGAGTTGGACCTAATACGTCATGGGGTACGAGGATCATCCCTTGATTGTATTCATCTGATCCTAACCCTTGGTTTGCCATCTTGTCGGTGTGCAATAGAATCGAATTCAGATCTGTCACTGTGGCCATGAATGGTATAACGGTTCAAGCGGAACCTCAGTCTGGTTCGATTCCACCTAGTCGATGGCATATATAGTAGTTTGTGAGGTTGTGCTCAGTTTTTTTTTCTCATAGGCAGAATTCGTGATTCTCTCACCGAATAGTGGACCGTGACGATTCGTTTTGCCCCATATCTGGTTTTTCCAGCTACCAGGGGAGTAATCAGAACTTTACGACTGTTCTTCTTACCTTTCGTCTTTAATGGCATCGTCTCGCCCAAATATAGACTGCCTTCTGTTCTACATTTATTCAATATTCCCACGGATCCCACCTCTTCCAAAGTGGGTATCAATCGTTCAGGCTACTAATTAAATGAATGACCCTACCCACAAGCAAACTTTCTTCTCCCGGTGCCGACATCCTGGCACCCTTCAGTATGCCCGATTGTCTTCTCTGGGCGCCTCGAACCTCAGTGCAGTGCATGCATGCATCGAGAGCGGGGTTCTCCCTATCCCACCACCATCGCAGGGTATACACAACGACAACTCGGGGCCCACAATCCCTGTTTCTGAACGAGCGTCTCGTTTGGTTTCACACTTTCCAATGTTACGGTATACGACACCACGCATTTTTTTTCTTTTTTGTGTTTCCTGCTAGCTGGCTGGCGAGGAGCCAGGAGCGAGGGAAGTCCTGGATTCCTATTTGTGTGTCCTCTCTTCTGCAGCGAAACTATTGACCTCTCTAAATACTGGGCCCCTCTGTCTAGACGACCACATTTTTACTGCCCTCGTCCTGTAGCCCCCCCCCCCCCCCATCCAACGAGACTGACGAGTCCGGTTGCTCAAACTGACATGCGAATCTGGATCGTTGACTACTTGTCAGTGCGTATGAAGATCGGTACAACCCCTATCGTTCCACTCATTTGGGCTTGCTGCTCGATGTACCTAGAGTGCAAACCATCCCGAGCTCATCGTTTCTTGAGGTTGTGTGGCAAGTAAGGTTTTGTTCATCAAAGATGCTCGTGACAGCGTGCCCGTAGGACCTTCTACGAAGAGTCATCTTTCCGTCGAATACACTCCTCCGCCTTCCTTCTGCACAGCTTTGCTTCATGACCAGGCACATCTTGTTACAAGAGGAGTCTTTCCGTCGAATGAATAACCATCCCTGCCAATTGATGACCCGTCCCTGATAGCATTAAGAAAAGCCGTTTGATGATTAAACGTAACTCATGGAACGTTGTCTTCCCTCTATAATCACACCACCATCATGACGCGGCGAACTTCTCTGATTAACGGTCTACTGCATCTTGATCGTTAGCACGGGCCTCGCATGAATCCCCTGGCCAAAGTACTCACTGACAAAGTTGGTTGAAGAAAATGAAGCCTACGGTTCTGATGCACCGGGCTGATACAAAGAGGCCTCGAAGCGCGTCCAGAGTAGATGGCGTGCCGCGAATCGAGAAGCCACGAGCCCTTCATCCAGACGCCAGTTCCGGAGGTTCGGCTCTACCATCCTCGCCCGTATCGTATTCGAAGGAGGAAAGAGGGGAGAGCACGTTCACGCAGAGGAAGATGCCCAGCACAGGGAAGGGTCAGAACAGGAAGAGAAAGTCGCGTGACTTTTGCCTTCAGCGCCGACAGTGGTGGCAGCCATCGGTTCACGAGTCACCAAGATAGGATATCGCTTCGGCGCGATTCCGACGTGAAAGCTAGATAGTCTAGTACGCATTCGGATGAGAATCATCTTGAGCCGTCTGGAAGACTTTCAAGGTATTCGGTTCATGGATGATGGTGCGAGACGCAGAGTATCGGAGCAAGAAACACGGAAGTGTAATCTGGCAATAAGATTCGCAGCTGCCAATGAATTCGAATCCTTGACACCAGCAATATACAGTGACTTTCCATAAAATTTGAGCTGCGTATATGCATCACTGGAATAAATCTGTGTACGCCGGGTGTAAGCACGGTCTCGTCCCAAAGTCAAAGGAAGCAGCCTTTTTATACAGCGACGAGTCATGCCCAGACAACGGCAACCTCGAGGACAGAGGAGGAAGCAGTAGATGGTGGAGTGTGTGGTGGACCCGGACCCGGAGGCGGAGCCATATCTAGACGGACCAGGAGGCATGCTTAGCGAACTTGGAAGCATCACAGGAGCCAGAATTACGTATACGCAGAACCACTAGCACTTGCGTTACCGCTCTCACTCGCAGACCCCATCGACGATGCCGAAGCAGACGAGCTGACAGCCTCAGAGACTACCCATCTGAGCGTAGATATCGCTGATATCGGAGATATTCACGAGATCAATGGTGTATCCATCCCTGCCGGGTTCTTCATAAGTGTATACAACAATCCAGGAAAGAGAACGAAACACACTTGCCAGGGGACGTCTGCCAGGAGATGGTGGAAGTGACGGTCTGTCGGGTTTCTGATGGTGAATCCATGAACGAGCGTAGGAGGGAGGGCGAAGAGGGCGAGGTAGGTGAAGAATATCGTGAAAAGAAAGGATTGGAGAAGAGGAAAGAAACAAAATGTTGGAGTGACGAGGGTTTTATTTAAAGGGCCACGTGGAAGAGGAAGTTTCGGATCCCCGATTCTTTCCGAAGGATGAGGAAACGACAGAGGGTTATAGAAAAACGTAACTGGTCGTGAGTAGTGCCAAACTGTCTGGACAGGGGCTATACTCCGGGTTAGCTTACAAATCTGTAGTGATTGGCGAGCATCCGGCACGCTTCGGCTGCTATGCCGGCTGATTGCCGTTGTGGCTGTCTTTCCGACTTCTCCCTATTGGTTTGTATCATTCTCATTGCTAACTCATCAAAACCGAGCTCGACGTCTTTTTTGTACCAGGACTGACCGGGACTGATGACTCCTCACAAAACCCTTCTCACTCTGAGTGTTAGACTTTCTGGTATGAGGATTCAACTTTTAAATTCATTATTACCGCTTGGTGCTCACAAGGGAAACAACCTCCACCCGTTGATGATGCTGTACCTTATAATAATTTGGCCCGACGATCTTTTATCGATAAATTGTGCTTCCCCTGAGTCCCACTATTACTTACCTCATAGCTGCCTGAGGTTGCGGGGGAAAATGTGAGCTGGTGGCAGCTGCGCTGCCACCGAGCAAACTTTTTCCCCGCAACCAACCAGTGGATCAGATTCATGCATATCATTTACAATATATAGTTTTGATTTTTTCAAGCATGTCTGAACTCCGTTAAGTGAGAAAATCCTATATCGTGCAGGGTAGCGACTTCAAAGCGACTTACTTAGTTATTTTTTGAAAATGAATCCAAGAAAAGGAAAGAATCGGGGACCCGGCGTCCGCCGCTACTGGATTATGTCATTCATCTGCTTCTTCGTTAGTGTCGGCTCCGACCGTCTAGTGTGAGCTTCTCGCCGTGTCTCCGCACGGATGTCGATTTCATAACACATTATGTGCGGCCCGCGTCCCATTTATCTTTAATTAAAGCGTCTCCTTCTTCAACTTGAACCGAACCACGAAAGAATTTGGCTAAGCAGTATGGCGCCACGCCGGACCCTGGTATGCTCCTCATTCGACTCCATCGACCACTATGCTATGTACGAAGTCTTACGTACGCTTGTTTTTCTCTTATCCTCAGCTGCCTGTACTGTACCTGCACGTAGCCTGTAGGGAAAAAACCGTTACGCATCACGGCAACTGGGTTTCGTTTCCTACTTTCTGTTCCATCACGCATCACGGAGGGCCAGTTTCTCAATCTTTAGCATGACGGCCTCGAAATGTATCCAAACGCTTCAAACTTTGAACGTTTTTGCATCCAAAGTTTCTGAAATTCGCCTCCGTCACGCATCACTTGGGCCCGGTTTCCTAACGAAAGATAATCTGGACCGTCACGCTCATGTAGCAGTTTCTTCCCTACATGCAGGTACAGTATAGCTTTCTGCTTTCAGTGCAGCGCGCTTTGATCCCAGAAGGTTCCTCGTAGCTCAGTCATCACTGACAAAGTGTTAGTCGTTCAAGTGGGCTAGGAAGCATACTGGGAGAAATCGGGTGGTTTTCTTTTAGTTTATTTATTTACGCAAGCGACTATCTTTCGGTGTTTGTCTATCCTTTACATTTCTGCCCGTGATCTGACTGTGTTGCTAATTCTTTCTTAGTAATAGTCGACTCGCCATGTTTTCAGCTCTATGAGACCCTCATCGCTAATGCTGAATGAAGCCACCAGCATTTCAGCGTCGATTTTTCTTCTGACCTTGCATCTTTCTTGTAGGCAATGACCTTGCCCTTGGACTTGGTTGACACTTCTTGCCCAAAGACGGACGGGTGGGTCGTCCGTCTGTTCTACCCCCGCGAGACTTATTCAAATTTCCCACATACCCCAGTACGGCTGCTCGACTCGCACCCTGACCGATGATCCCGCTTTTTAACTATGCCAACATTGCATGTCTCTTTCAATGCTGGTATTAGTCTTTCAAGGGAAGGAAGAATATTTTGTGTCAATTAAAAGAATGACCGGAGCAGCGAGTGAGTACTTGTCATCTTTCAAGACGATCAGTTACAGGTCTACTTTCCTTTTCTCCTGAGGTTCCTTTGCTCTTAGTAGCTCATTTTGGTACAGCACGTCATGAAGTATGCATCTCTGGCAAGACTATTTATCATGGTGAGTCACCCGTACTCATCATATGCTTATAGACGATTCTAAGTACGGACGGATACCGGCATGGGCATACCTCACTTCTGCAGCCTTTCGTGACAGAAACAAAAGTGGATCCCTGACTTGAATATGGCATCCAGCGACCATAAGATTTTTCAAAACGGGAAGGACGGCTTGTACAGTTGTGTGTTGCATATGCTCTGTATGTCATTCTATC